TGTATTCCTTGCTATTAGACAAAATTTATGCAGTTCAAAATTGAAATGTCTCGAAATTATTTTTTCAATTACTTATTATTTATTCCTGTGTTTAACCTGAACAAAATAATACTGTGGGTCCCTCCACCCCAATATTTCATGCTTTATTTTTATTTATAATATATGGATAGAGTTATTATGAAAAGAAATTGTTTTACATAACGGTTCATCAGCTTTTTGAATGTCTACATTTTTTAGTCTGCCTTATTAGAGCCCTCAGGTATTAGGCCTTGGTAGCCTGGCTCCCTGGGATTTTTTTAGTACACTTTCTGGGTACTCTCTTTAAAATTTGATAGTTAAGTAGAGAATAGTGTATTATTTATTTAAGATAGCTACTGGTACTTGGTGGGGGAACTAGTCCATCAAGTGAGTCTTGTGGTTCTTTTTGCAAACCCCTGATAGCTACCTAGAGGTGCCGTCACCTGCTAACCAGAGTGCCAAGATTCTTTTCTCAGGGCCATAAAAAAATAAATATTAACTGATTCAGATGGGAATCAAACCCACTAAGTTCCAAAACATCTTTTGGGCCCACCTTGCTTGGCCATCATATTTAGTAACTGCATAATTCATATTAATATTACCCAAACAAGTTTTACATCATTGTGTTTTCCAAATGTTCAATCATTGTTAATGTCTCCAATATTGTCCTTTTCCTTCTTTAAAATATTCCTTGGTTACATTTTCATTTCAATAAAACATGTTCCATAGTAAAATTATATAATGATGCTAAGTATCAATGCAAATGTTTTCGAGAATGTGATAGAATGTATTAAGATAGAGGTAATGCATTGAAATTCATCTTATATGACAGTAATATATACATAACCAGACTAAAAAAAACACTTGGCGAATTTATATCTAGAAGTCTTGATGATTAACAATTATGATTATGATTGAAATGTTAGTGACATCAAGTTCTTTAAAAATCATAAATTTATGTGAATTACTGAAGGCAGTTAATCACCTACATCATAGGTCAGGATAGTCAGGATGCAATCATTTTAAGATTTAATTGTTGTGGTTGTCGGTTGTACCCATGTTTCCAGTACTGAAGGTGTTTAAGTACTGCTACTGTACACCTTGGATTGAATCATCAGCAACAACAGTAAAAATCTTATAATGAATGACTGCGTCCTGACTATTAATCAACTAGAAATTCATGTGCTTCACATAAAGTCTGATCTATATTATCTATATCATTTTAAAACCTTTTATACTCGACTAAAAGTCTTATTGGAATTTTATGTAGTTATGTATTAAATGATTTTATTTCTATTAATGATTAATAATATGAATGTGTATCATTTCACTACTTGCTCTATTCCTTGAAAAAATAAAAAAATTAATGAAAATCTTAAAATAAAGTAAATTATAAAAGTATTATGGTTTAACTTAATTTTTTACAGTTTCTTATACATGCACTAATAAATAATAATCAAAACTAAATGTTATTTATTTATTATACTGACTTAAAAACAAACAAATTAATGAAAAAATAATTTTAAATAAATATCAAAACTGGAAAATAAAAACTTTTTCTTAACACATATAGTCCGTGTTACAGATCTGTTTTTATCAAATTATTAACATCCAGCTGAAACTTCGTAAATAGCTTCATCTCATCGTAACCTACAAATATTTTATTTACAAAAATTTTCAAAATTCTCGGGGCGTTTTCAATCTGGAGGTCGGCAAACTATGTCTATTTAATTAGATATTAAAAACTTGTAAATACCCATTTGCTTTCCACTTGAATCGTAAGATAACTTGAGCACAAAGTTGGAAAAAGAAGGTGGCCTTCAAAAATATTGAGCCGTTTGGCGTGACCTACCCCCTCAAATTGTCTAAATAACAAGGTTATTTATAGGCCTAACAGCCCAATATTTTTGAAGGCCACCTTTTTTTTCACCCCGACTTTATGCTCAAATTTTCATACGATTCAAGTTGGTATTTGCTAGTTTTAAGTACCTAATTAAATAGACAAAGTTTGCCGACCTCCAGATTGAAAACGCCCCAATTCCGAGAATTTTCGTAAATAAAATATTTGTAGGTTACGATGAGATGAAGCTATTTATGAAGTTTCAGCCGGATGTTAATAATTTCATAAAAAGCTGTCTGTACCATGGACTAATAAGTTGAGTCTAGTATGAGACAAAAACTATGGCATGAAGGTCTACTCTGTTAATTAAGAAACATTTACTTAAATATACTTTTTGATTTTATAGTGTTATCTAAATGATAAGTTTTTCCGTGGGCTCAACACTTTGATAATTCTGATTTCTCACAACATTCCGAAATCCTCAACTACTGATGTCTAATAAAGGGCAGCTAAAGCTTCTCAAATACTCCAAGAACGTATGTCACTAATTACACTACTTTGAGTTATGAGGCTCAGCAAAAATCTTTTATCAAAATAATCCTAACCAAAATAATTAAAAAATTGTAGCATCGCCTTTTATATTTCTGATGAAAAATTCTTTGTAATATATTATAATGTAATCTTGACATTCCTTTTCCCTCAAACTTTCGTTGATTATTTATACGATTGCCACAACATATTGACCAAATTCAAATCCACTTACTCAAGCACTATCCATTGCAATTTGCACAGATATCTATTGAGGTGAGGTACTATTTTAGGAGACTTAATGTTTTGATTTTCTTATAAATTCTATTTTTTTTTTGCTCTTGTTTTAGTTTTCGTTTCATATTTGTCTTTCATCAATTTTTTTTTCATCTACTTTCCAGCTCATTTGCATTTTGCATGCTTTGTGGCATATAGCTAATTTTATTATGATCAAAATTATGTACCACTATATAAATATTCAGTCCAAAAAGTTAACTTTGTTTTTGTAATCAGCTAAAGTATTAGCCATGGATTGTGACTATCTCATTCTGCAGACCAACAAGGACCTATTTTTCCTGATCGAGTATGATACACTATCATTACCTCAACTTCTTGAAAAACATCAGAATTTCAGGTTATTAAAAATGCAACAGGGGATGACTGTTTACTTCTTCTATAGAGAGCTATAACTCATCCAAGTGCTAGCCATGCTTAATTTTCGAAACCTAGTGATTCCATTAAAAAATCTATATATATTCACAGATATCTCAATTTTTATATTTATTCTTAAACAAAACCACTATAATTGACAAAAGAATTATTTCAATTTCATAATTCAAGATACATGGGATAGGTTCCATAATATTCAAATAAACAGAGAATTAACCAATATAGTTTTAAATTAAACCATTTTTTTAAATTTTATTCTTATGAATTTTAGAAAGTTTAGCAAATACTCCCAACCAATACACAAACTTCACTCCATTTATTTACAAAAATAAATAATACACTCATATATCAACTTAGTATAAAATTAAGGGCCTTTTCTTTAATTTATACCCTAGAGAAGCTCAGGAATGAGTTTCAGACTTTTATGACTCCTTTAAATGAGTAAAAAATGAAAATGTCATAACTTTTTCAAAAACTCGTCCAAATTAGCCCACTTTGAGGGTAATATAATTTTTTGAGTAAAAAATACTTTGAATGGAATTAACTCAATATATAAATTTTATTACTTGAGCTCCTTGTTTTTAACTAATTAACTTTTTTGCTATTGTACTTCCTGCGGTTGTTTATGTATGTCCAGCATAACGACTCACGATAAGAATAATTCCTAAGGGTTTTAAAAATAAAATTATTGTATAAAATATTTAATTTGAACGAAGATGAATCAATCAAGGAATTTATAAGAATATATAATGTGGATTCATTAACCTAATGTGGTATTTGTTGCAAACTTGTTGCCGTGTGTCAATTGAAATGTGTAGTCATTAGGCTGAATGAGGAACAAATCAATATAATAGTAATCAGGTAATGTCTGAAGTAGTTGGGAGAAAAGTATTCAGGCTAATGTTTAATAGAATTCAATGTTGAGAAGTGTAATGATAAGGAAGTATGGTTGACAATTGAACTAATACAGGTCTACCAATTTACTAATCAGTAAATCTTATACAAAGTCGACCATAAATTCTTAGTAAGTTTTGAGAAAATCTTGAATACTCGACTTTTATATGTTCTTCAATTTCAGCTGTTGGATAGCTAATTTCAACTGTTCAAGGTATGAAATACACTTCATGTAAGGGATCATCTTTTATTCTCAGCCAATAATTTTTATTTATTAATATATTTTTTGTTTTATTTATTATAAATTTTTATTACTAATGCATTGATTTTGGTTTATTATTTTTGAAAGTCAATCATTCTAGAAAAAAAAATTAACCCCCTCCCTCAAAATTTGAGTCCTAATGTTTCAAGATGCATAACATTCAAAAGTGGTATTTCTTTCAGAATATTGAGTCAATCCTTTTTTTTCTTTCAAACCTCTGAAATTTGGCACTAGTCATTCGCCAGTTTGTTTCAAACTGGCTTCTGATTAAAATTTCCAGATCTCCATATCTTTTTGGTCCTTTGTGAAGACAGAAGAAAATATAATTTTTTTTTATATCATACATAATGGACCTTCCTAATTTTTAAAATGTCTGGAATTTTAATTACCAAAATTGCTATACATCCTGTAACCGTAGGAAAAGTTGATTTAGGAATCTTATAGATAGAAACCCAATGGGTATTTTTAATAAACATATACAAAGGTGAATCAAATATAATCACATATTTTTGCTTTCACTTATTTATACATGAAATAGATAGTAAGGAACAGTATTGCTGTCATAAAAAAAAAATTCAACCTACCACTTTTATTTTGACTTTTTCTTGCCTATCCTCTAATTTTTTTTTACCCATCTTTACACTCAATTGTGGGACATTACATTGTTCCCATCCTATGTTCTCTAATAAGTAAAATCTCTGAGGGTTTAACGCCTTCATTGGTTTAAAATTTTATAATAATGCATTGTTTTTTTCTATAAACAAATTATTCAAATTTTATTTTTTTCAGGCTCAGGTTAGTCTATTCGAATCATCTCAAAAGCTCGATTTGCTGAGGAAGTCTCTTGAAATGAGGCGCTCTGAACTGCCTCCCGACTCGACAACAGCTGCACAATTGAAGCATGAGTTAGACTCGGTGCAATCATCCAGCCCCGTTCCAGTTACTTATACCAGTCTTCAACCCTTCAGAGGTGATGGCACTATGGGTATGAGAGGCGGAATATTAAGTAGTAGGCCTTCTCCATTCAACAGGACAGCAGCAGTTACTGGAAAACTTGAAGTGAGGTAAATTATGTTGTAATATTTCTCATGTTAATTCCCTTCATCAATATTTCAAATAGTGTGTTCGTGAGACTGCTCAAGATATTAAGAAATTTTATAACTATTCATTAGATTGTTTCACATCTTTCCTACATCATCTAGTATTTATCTAGTTATATTAGTTGATTAGGATAACTGCAAAGAGACTTAAATAAGTAGGCAGTAATTTAGACCTGAGTAGTCTCAATTAATAAAATAATTTATTATAAAATTCTCTAAATTTTCACCTCTCTAGATTAAAACATTTTGTCAATTTTAATCTGAAAAAAAAAATCAATAAGAGGACTTACTGGTAGACTCTAGTCCATTGATAATACTATAAAATCATTAAAAACAAATTATAACAAGCCAAAACTTCTAATGATTTTATAGGATTTTTAATTCAATGAAAATTGTAAATTTTGAGTTCTACATTCTTTATATAGGTATGAGGTATTAATAATATTTTAAAAAACAAGATCAATCATTCTACTGATAAAATTAATAATAAATGTAATATATAAATAAAATACTAATAATAAAGAAATCATGAAGATGGATGGATAATCCAAAATGTTGACCTGTTTAGTGGATAAAAGCGTTAAGGTTAGAAAATAGTTTATAAATAAAAAAAAATTTTCTTATTGTTTTGATATATTGCTATACTTTTCTAACATAAATTGTAGCTTCTGGTAACATAAATTATTAAAAACAGTTTATTTGTCATAATTTATCTCTGAGGTGTTGATATGGGTTCAGGGATTAATTCCTTTCCCTGTTACATCAAAATTAATAAATTTTCATAATTATTTATTGATTATTAATTAACTATTAAATGTATCAATATTGTTTTAGATTAATGGGTTGTCAAGACCTTCTTGAAGAAGTCCCTGGTAGATCTAGAAGAGAGAAAGATTCAATATCAAGTCCAGGTGACTTACGATCTTTTGTGAAAGGAGTGACAGGCAGGAGTTCTAGCAAATCATATAGTGTAAAGGATGAAATCAGCAGTAAGTGCTCTTTTCATTTTTACTTTTTTTTTTTAATTTACATTTAAGCTATGAAAAAAAAATTAAATGTCCAGATAAAAGAATTTTTTTTTCTTTTAGTTTGGTATCTACGAGGGTGGCCTGAAAAGTTTCCGACCTAACAAAAATACAAGACATTTTTTCCAAAATTTTATTTTTTATTTTTGAACATAGTCTCCTTGTAACTCTACACACTTCTTCCAGCGATGCTCCCATCTCTGTAACCCGTCCAAAAAGTATTCGCCGTTTTTCTTTGCAAAATAATTGTTTGCAAAGTTGATTGCTCTTCCGGTTCGCAATTTTTAGATAAGAGAACAAAAAGAATTCTCTTGGAGTGAGTACGGCGGATGGTCAAGCAGTTCAAACTGCAATTCGAGGATTTTCGCCATGGCAACCACTAAAGTGTGAGACGGTGTGTTGTCTTGGTGAAACAGTATTTTCTTTTTCTGCAAATGTGGCTTTTTTTCTGCCTTCAGCTTGTCAAGTAATGATGCGTAGTATGCTCCTGTAATGGTTTTTCTTTTTGAAGATATTAAAATAACTCCATGACTATCCCAAGAAACAAGCGCCATCACTTTCCCAGCCAAGGAAACAGTTTTTGGTTTTTTCGAAGCCAATTCCCCCTTTGCAGTCCAATGTTTGAACTATATTTTTGTTTCAGGCGTGTAATGGTGTATCCCAGTTTCATCTATAGTAATTAATCGGCGCCAAAACTCAGATTTATTGTGCCAACTAGCATTGGAAATGTTCATTCAAACACATTTTTGGTCTAACTTTAGCAAATGCGGCACCCAACGTGCGGACAGCTATCTCATAGCTAAATGTTGATTTAATATGTAACAAACAATGTTCTTTTGACGTGTTCATAACCTCTGCTATCTCGCTCAATTTAATTCGTCGGTAGTTGCAGTTTTTTGACGTCCCGAACGTTCCTCGTCTCTCAAGCTCTTACGGCTACGTTTAAATTCAGCTGTCCAAAACTTCACTGTGGTAAATGATGGTGCAGAGTCTCCATACACAGAATCCAACTCAGCTTTGATTTGCGTAGGCGTATTGCCTTTCAAAAACAAATATTTAATGACAGCTCGATACTCGATTTTGTCCATTTTCAAATGCAACGACTGTTACATAAAAACTGCGCATCCGAAATGGCTGAAACTTTAGTGGGTAACTGTCAACAGATGAGCAATGCAATTCACTTGCTTTTATTTAAGAGTGCTGCCATCTTCAAGTTGCAGTCGGAAACTTTTCAGACCACCCTTGTATTTTAAACTAAAAGAATGGAAGACAATAGAACTTCCATTATTAACACTAGTTGATACAGAAACACAGATCTTTAAGCGGGAAAGCCGTGGGTAAAAAAAAAAGTTTTGTATCAATAAAAATTAAAGAACTTTACAAAAATTAATCTACAGGTTGTTGGTATTCAGTAAAACCTTGTAATAACGCTCTTTTTCCTCTATCGGTGGCTTTCTTAAAAAATTTATCATAGGTTTTATTGTATAATTCCTAGGAATGTTTCATGTAACATGAGATTTTCATGAATTGAAAGCTTGTTCATTTTGCAGATCATATTTTCATCTCAGTTGTTTTACTTCCACGCTCATGAAATATGTTGATAACTATTACGTTAGGTATAATATAGTGAATAAATTATATTTTATAATGGTGGGGATATTGTTGACTGTTGATCAACTAGTAGGAGAAGTTGTAGTTTTATTATTTTCTTGGGGAGGGGAGAAGGGGGAGGTGCTGTACACAAATACAAATTTAGAATGTGTGGACTTAATATTTTTTTTAAAAAATATTTGTAGAAATCTGTTCATTTTTTTCATTACTTAGTGACTTTGTGGAATGGTTGATCTTGTATTTTCTTACATGTTGTTATATTATAATTGAATTGTTTGAGTTGTACTGGATAAATTGGAAGTTTATCGTAAAAACATATTAACACTTTGTTGACCGGCAATTTTAAACAGAAGCTGTGTCATGTCACCAGCTATTATTTTGTAACTCAAGTGCAATGACGAGTTAACTCGTCACTGGTCAAAAAAAATATGTTATGTTTTTCTCAACTAAAGCAAAAAATAATTGAAATTAAAATGGATATATAATTGGTTTATTGCAAAAGGTCACTAAGTAAATTTTTGGTGGAGCTGAACTTATAAAAGTGTTTTTGTAAATTCCAACCTTATTTATCGAAAACAAAGCACAGTAAGTGGACTATATTGACAAAAACCCTTTTATATATCAAATATAGTTACAACAAGCGAACAGTTTTCTGATTTCACTAAGGGAAACTTCATCAAATTTCTTACTTAATTAAGGTTATGAAATATAACTTAATGATTTTTTTTGTAATAAGCTGACGATATTTTGCTGTAAAATATTTTATTATATTTTTAAATAATTATTTTATCAATTTGTTTAATTCTGATAGATGAAAATCATGGTCTAATTGTATATTCTTAAATATTAAAATTTTAAAAAATTGATTATTCATTACCATCTTTATTCTGTAATATTTTGATGAATGTTGTAGATGAAATAATGGCTGTTATTAAGCTCGATAATCAAACTGTTGCTCAGACAAGTTGGCGACCGTGTTCTCAACAAGCATGGGACCAAAGGTATTTAATTGAGTTGTCACTTTAATATATATTAGTAATTGTGTTTAATAATTTGTTTCCCTTTAAGGTTTTCAATAGAACTAGAAAAATCGAGGGAATTGGAAATAGGTGTATATTGGAGGGATTGGCGATCGTTATGTGCTGTTAAATTTCTTCGTTTGGAAGAATTTATAGATGATATAAGGCATGGTATGGCATTGCAGTTGGAACCACAAGGGCTTCTGTTTGCTGAGGTGAGTAATTTAAATTACTTTATCCTTTTTAAGGATACTTTTAGTTTATTTGAACTCATATAGATTAGGTGTCCATAAAACATTTTTTTTTTTTTTTTGTTCTTTTTGTTTTAGTTTGTCTTAAGCATGAAATATTTACCATTTCATAAAATGTTAACCATTTTAGCTATTATTTACCTATTTATAAAATATTTGAGCAAGAGGTGCTATCATGAAAACTTCAAATCCGAGTTTACAATGGAAGTACATGAATTTAAACATACTATGTTTATACATTCTTGATAAAAAAATAAAAGAAATTCATATGAAACTATAATTATGTATTTAAGGCATTACTGGGATGTTACAGTAACTTTTTAACTCAAATTGAATACACACTAGTGTCAATTTATATTATTAATTTTTATTTATTTGCAATTTTTACAAAAATTGTTCTTGTAATTTTAATTAAATTTGTTTTTTTAACGTTTGCTTTAATGGTATTAGTATTGCCAATATCTTATCCTCGTCACAATAGTCGGACTGATCGTAAATTTTAATTCTGCAAATTATCTTCCTATAAAGAAACTTGTTAATTTGAAATAATTAACTGTCTCTTATTGTTAGTATAAATATAGATTATATAAGAATTTGATAACTAAAGGAAAAAGAAATCCCAAGTGAAAAACAAGTAATGATATATGTGTAGTATTGAAGAGAAGTTGACTGAGATGTTCATCAGTTAAACTCTCTTATGACAATTTTCATGAGGACAGCCCTGGTGAAGATCTGAAAATTTGGCTGCAATGTCGGCAAAATTTATATAATTTATTTATAATTACTTTGTTTTTTGTTTGACTGAACATCCCAAACAACTTCTCTTCGATAAATATATATTCGACAGTCAATTATTAAACCACGGTATGTGTTGTATACTTTTGAGAAGCTGAAAAAATAAAAATTAATTATTTTAATGAATATACTATACCCATAGAGTCCAGAATAATATAATAATAAAATATGTTATTCTATACTCATTGCTTGTATCCTATTTTCACTCGGATATGTTGTTCAGAAATTAATTTATACTAATTGAAAATTGGAATAAAATAAAAAAAATTGTAATGATTGCCAGATTTTTAAAATCTACTTTTGTTAAACAACAATTTCTCTTCTATGTCTGTTTTGTATTATAAGATAATCAAAGTATTAATACTCCACGAAGAAAGTATCAATTTCACTTCATTTTTATCTCCTGGTTACAGATAAAATTTTTGAACCCGATGATATCAAGAAGGCCTAAACTTCAAAGACAAAAGAAGATTTTCAAACAGCAAGTAAAAAATTTCCCTAGAGCTAACCAAATGAATATAAATGTAGCTACATGGGGTCGTCTTCTAAAACGTTCATCTCCTTCGATACAAAATGCTAGAGCTCAGTCTGAAAGTCCGCCAACAGGTAATTTTTAATTAGTACTTTTTAAACCACTCTAAATATGGCTTGTTTCTAAGAAATTTCTGGTAACTCTAATGCAGGAGTGCAGTTTGAAACTTCAAATTATTATTGCCATTTTCGTTTGTAGTGCTTTTTTTAGTTAAATCATAGTTTTAATTAAGTTTGTTTATTATGATATATAGGTTCATATATCAAATTTAAAAGTTCCATGAAAAAAAAATGTTGGTAATTAGAAATACTAAAATATTTGTCATCTTAAAAACCATCACATTTATTTTTATAATTAAAAAATATACAAGATAATTTTTTTAATTATATATGTATTATATTTAAATACATATTTATCAAACTTGAATTTAAGTTTCCAGTATCCTGTAAAACATTAAAACTTTTTAATAATTGAATAAAGGTTTTTTTTATTGTTGTTACAGTTAACTGTATATTTTTTGGCCAATTCTATATTTTTTTGTCCTGTTTATTGTTTAGGAGTCATATTTCCGTCTCGAAAGACAAAATTAAACTAATTAATAATTAAAATTTCAGTCTATGATTGAAAAGAGATTTAGATAAATTCAGTTGCATGAGAAGTACTAATGAAAATTCAAGTTAAAAAAAATAAAATCTGTATTCAGTTGTTCAACTGTATCAAATAAATTTAAAAATTATAAATAACTACCTCCATATTAGAATTACCAGTTTTTTCCTGACCACAGCCATATTTGAGAGTATTAAGCTTATGTATGTATGTTATATTATAGAAATAGTTCCTTGTTGAAAGTAAATCAATAAATAAATTATGAATTCACATGCTTGCAAAAGGAACTACAATATGCTGGGATAACTTCAAATATGTTTGCCGCTTCATAAAGTTTGAACCAAATTCTCCAAATGGTAATTTGAAAGAAAAAAAATTCTGTTGTAGTTAAAATCTCTGTTAAACTTGAATTGTCCATAAAATGAGTTGTCATTTCACCTACCACCTTTGGTCACCTCTATGTTATATATTTCTGATATGTAGAATTGATGGCTTGTTGTAGTGTGTATTGCTTGGTCATAGTGTGAAATTTATATTGGACATTTTCTTTTTTTTTTTTTCTTATTTGTTTGTTTCCAATCTTCAAGGTAACAGTATGGAAGTAGAAGAGAAGCCAGAGACACCTGGAGAAAGCCCAGATCCCGGAGCTTGCGGCCTCGGCGGTGCTAGGCCACTGGGTATCGCTGTCCTTCCACCTCTGCCGCCCGACGTCAATCCCTTACCCTCAGCTATCGCCAAAAAGAGATCACCACAACAGCCTCCTCCTCCTCCACCTCCAAGGCTCGATATAGAGGTATCATTAATTTTTTATTCAATGTAATTATTTTTTGCATGTGTTTCAAGCTATTCAATGTTCAAGCTTTTTATTTTTAGAACTAGCCATATTTGGTGATACCTGGAAATAAAATAAAAAGACTGTACAAAGTCATTTCTAACTTATTAATGTCATCGTTAAATATTTTATTTTGTAAAATTATTAAATCTTTGTGTATTTTTATTAAAGGTTTTATTATATTTATACAATTAAGTGCTCATTTTATTTCAAGCATGTTTAACTTATGTACATATAAAACCCCTTCTCTATGGTTTCTGGTTTGGTGCATTTATAGTTTTTTAGTATATGAGGGCACATGTTTAATTTTGTTGCACAGTTTTTTTTTCGCACAGGATTATTTTTGCTGTATCATGCTTTTATTGAAGTGAATACAGTAGCTTCAATACTTGACTTAAATTTTGTACTTGTCTTAAGCTTTTGGATTCCTTTTTCTTGCTTCTGTATATACATAAATTCCATTTAAGTATATAATACTTTATTGTCGCTGGATGTTATCATCTGTTATTATAATCTTTTACTTTTAAATGTATATAGACCAATTTAAAAAAATTAAAATATAATTTAGATAATTCTTCATTTCTCAGAGGAATTATTTATTTGGTGTAGGGTGTAGTGTAGTCATTAGGAGGGTAATGTGTTTAGCCTGTCCATTTGTAATATTACAATTTTTTTTTTTGTAAAGATTTCATGTGATTTTCTAGTTGATGGCTCCAATTACTCAATGAAATCCCATAATGTTTTGGATTAATTTTAGTATAAATACCAAATTGTAAGTAGTAACTATCAAGGAATCTCACTCCTTCCGATATGTTATAAAATATTCACATTAATCCTTAATAATCTAATCACAGAATAATTTGAGGAAATTATCGAAGACTATCAATGCTGATTTAGACAGAAACGTTCAACTATTGATCAAATATTTTCTTTACGGCAAATATTAGAGAAAAAAATAGGGTAAAATGGTATTGCTTACAAGCTATATATCGATTTATAAAAGGCTCACAATTTTATTGACTGCCAGAAGCTATAATATTCTAATTGAGCAAGAGATTCCAAAAAAATTAGTAAATTAGGATGTGGGTGACAGAAACATTTAATGAAGTCAGAATAGGTAATTATTTATCCGAAATGTCTGAAGTTCGTTTGGGTATAAAACAAAGTGGTTCCCTTTCACCTGTTCTGTTTAATTCAGCATTAGAACATACCACTAAGGAGGTAATGCATACTGAAAAAGGTTTGAATCTGGATGGAACAATATCTGTGCTTGGTTATGGTGATGATTTAGTCCTGATATAGAAGGGATTATGTTCAAACACGTAGAGAAGTTTAGGTACCTAAGGTCTACAATAACTAGAAAAATCTGGTGCGCGCATCACACAACTTTCACCTACCACTCTCTTCTTAGCAGAAATAAATATTTTCAGACAAAAGGAAAGTGAAAGTAAAAATTATAAATGCTATATTTATTTACATTTCATTGTGGGTATTTTTATTTGTTTAATTACACTTATATATACAAGAAGGAAGTTAGTCGACTGTTCTACATATCATGGGTGATAAATATTCAGGATGCAGTCTTTTTTAAAATTTTTTTATTTTTGCCAACGTTGCAACCCAAACATGTGGGTCAACTTCAGGGCGTGGTTTGAGCGCTGAAGGTGTTCAAGTAATCTGAACTGAGTACTTGAACACCCTCAGTGCTCAAAACACGCCCTGAAGATGACCCACATGTTTGGGTTGAAATGTTGGTAAAAATAAAAAAAATTTAAAAAAGACTGCGTCCTGAATATTTATCACCTATATTTTATATATTCAAATTTTATTACTTTCACTTACGTATATATGTAATATATAGTAAGTGTAAGTATTGCGATCAAGAAAATTTTTGAATCTGAGTTTTCGACGGATTTATACGTTTTGAGGTACACTGAGTCGAAATGACCAAGTCCCGAAAAATGGTTTGTGTGTCTGTGCTTTTGTATGTTAGCAGTCTAGCTCAAAAACGAAATGTCCTATGAAACTGATATCACGTATTTAAGATAGGTATGTGCCTTAGTTTTGACGGCAACTTTTTCCTTAAAATCGGCTAACCGGAAGTGCCACTTTATATCAACGCGGAAACACATTTTCACAGTTTTCTCAAAAACGGCTCTAACGATTTTGATTAAACTCGGTGTATCATAGTATAATTAAGTGGTCTTTAATATAAATTAGGTCTTATCCCCATTGATGTCACTTTACAGGGCTTAAATTCCCAATGTTCATATACGTCTTCCTCTAAAGTACCTTTAATATGGTTTATTTTAAAAAGATAATTATTTCGCATTATTCAGAGTTACGAAAAAATGCTAAATATAACTTTTGAAAGAATTTGATAAGTTAATAAAGGAGAAAAAAAATAAAAATGCAGAAAAACGTAGCTATAGACTGTAGCGCCTAAACGAATGTACCGATTTCATTGAAACTTCGCTAAAGTCATTTTCTCGACACCCTTCAAATTTATCTATATAACATTCATCAGCGAAAAGAAGCTGAAAAAAAGTTACGAGGGATGGTAAAATTAAATTCCGAATAACTCAAAAAGTATACACTTTTTTGGGAATGTTGTATATGGTTTTCTAAAAGTTTATGGAATAGCCTAAAAAACAAAAAAAAAATCGTTAAAATCGGACAATTAGGAGATAAGATATGGTCTCTAGTTTTTTTTTAATACGTTCTGCTGCAATGGTTATATCCTTTGTTTCGGTTTTTGAATTTTGAATGTGTTAATAAGGTAATGCTAATTTTTTTTAAATGTATTTAAAATCCACCTAAGCAAGTTGATGGCATTGTTAAAAAAACTATTTCAGTGTACTTGTGTGAAAGAAGAAATAAAATATAAAATCATTTCATGGATGTATAAATCATGTGTTTATAATATTAAATACATTTACTGTAGTTTAGTAATTATTTATTAAATTTTAAATTGGTCCATAATCGTCTTATCTTTTTGGCTACATTCAAGGAATTGCTGTGTTATATATGTGTGCGATTTTATATTGCGTTCCTGGCGTTTGAGAATTTAAAGAGAAAAAAGGAATTTTTTTTTATTTTGGAAAAGTGTTTATTATGCTATGTCTATTGTTTAATATGGTTTATTGTTGATAATTTGTAAGAGTATTGTTATGAAGGGGGAGAAAAAAAAAAAGAAAAATATAATATAAAATCAATGTCCGTATGGATTGATAAGTATGCTGTGTACGAAGCAACCCTATGTAGTAGGGCAGCATTACTTTTAATAAAGTATTTCTCTATAGATAATTAGGTATTAAAGTTAATTCCAAAATATTGTCATAAAGCTTTTTAGAAAACTAAATTAGTGAATAATTCAATAGATCTTCTCTTTGTGATATTCCACTACCATTTCATTGTACTTGTGTGAAAAAAGAAGTGAAATACAAAAATATTTCATAGATACGTTTATAACCCTAAATATATTTACTGTAGTTTAACAACTCTAGATCTTATAATATATTTAAATATTTAGATATCTATCGTCTGTTTATTCTGAAAAATCATCATGTAACCTTTTAGAAAATTAAATTAGTGAATAGTTTGATAATCTTTCTTTTTGCGATATTCCAACAGAATCCACTTACAATTAGTGTGACAACTTTTGACCTGTCTATGACAGACACTGCAAATCTCTTAATTCCGTTTTAATAAACTTTGCAATGGAAAATAACAGTTTAATGACTTATAGTCGTACAATCCATAATCAATGGATCGAACAATCCATAATTAACGAATCGTACAATCCATAATCAACCGGTGATATAATAAATAGGACTTTTGTTATTTTAATAGCATTTGTGTTTTTTTAGCTTTAGCTCAGTTTAAAATGCAATTTAAAACATTTTATAATAGCCTAACATGGCCAGAAAATAATTTTTATTCAAAGTTCAAAGAGTAAGTGAAAGTTGTGTATTGCCAGATTTTTTTATATTGCTGTAATTTGTACAGTTAAATATTAAATAATAGTAACAATAGCATCTATGAAAACCGCATATGTATATGTGCATAATATAGTGTAAGTCCCTATTATATTAAGCTCATCTTACATATGGAAGTCTGTTTTGGGCGCACTCGTATTCCTTTGTTCCTCCATTACAACTATTATCCGTTACAATCTCTTATTTCTTCTTTAATTAATTATCGAATTCTTTCATATTTTATATTTAACTATTTTTTATATCAAAAGATTAATGTGAAATAGTTAATTATTTCAAATAACAAAAATTAAAGATATTTTAGAGGAAACTAATATTGAAAATTAGACATTTAAGCCCTGTTAGAGAACATCAATGAGAATAAAACCTTCATTATATTAAAAACTGCTTAATAATACACTGATATTCTGAGTTTAATCAAAATTGTTAAAGCTGTTTTTGAAAAAATCGTAAAAGTGTGTTAAATTGATGATATGAAGTACCTCTTCCGGTTTGCCGATTTTGACAAAAATGTTACTGTAACATGCCAGGCTTATCAAAACCTCAAATATGCAATTTCAGTTTCATACGTTTTTGAGGTAGATTTTAACTTGCTGATTTTTATATTACATTAAAATTTGAGATAGATTAACCAATATCGGATTACTGAGAATTGTCTACTGCAGGCATTAATTTAGTGAAGACAAATGTGCCTTGCATAAAATAAAATGTGTAACATGACTTAGGGTTGTTATAACGTTTCACATTACACATCAGGTAGCTGTACTCATTATTTTAATTTGTAATTACTTCATTTGTTTCACATAACAGCGTTTATTAATATTGTTTATGAAAAAAAGAATTGAAAAATCTGATAAAACCGGGAAATGTACGGAAATATTTTGGAGAAGTGTAGGACACTCTCTTCTATTGCTACTAGGTTTGGATCAAATTTAGGATATGCAAACATGATAGTGTTATTGCAAT